CTGCTCACTCTCTGACGTTTCGGGGGTCTGTTCTAAGGACAATTTTACTGAGGTGTGGAGAAAATAAGCACAAAGGTGCACTTTTGCTACGCTTCCCTCTTCCTCGGCTACCGGCATGGAAACTGGGATTTGGATGGTCTGTTGTGGACAGGCCCGGAGCCCGGGACCTTCCCGAGCAAGCCCCGGAGGCAGACTTGTGACTATCCTCCAGGGGTCACAATTGGGTTACAAATTCCTCACAGCACAGTGACTGAGCAGCCTGATTTAGAACCATTTATTCGAATCCTTCTTCATTAAGATTCAAATGGAATAAGTAAGGTAGAAATTGAACAGACACAGAAATTGTGCCTTGCTGCTCCTGTAGTCAGTAAACATTTATTCACTGAGCCCAGTCTGCGTGCTCTCTCTCTCTCTGCCCCCCTCACTCACAGTTGTTCTTCCAGTCCTTGCTGCTTGCTGTTTTAATGCATAATTAAGAAGGTCAGAATTAATGAAGCAGTGTGGAGTAAAGTTCAAGGAATCCCCAGGCACTATTTATTCTATTAGATCTCAGGCATGAATGTCAGCCTGGCCGAGTAAGCAGCATAAGCAATGCAGCTGGCTGCATCCCAGGAACAATCCACCGAGGGAGACTCACCTGCACTGTCAAGTCATTCCGAAGCTCCTTCCCTGCGAAAATCACACGCAACTGGTCAGCTGGAACCCCCTGTCGCTTAGCAACCACCTCCTTGAGCTGGAAGATGCTGGTGTCGGAATCGACCTCCAGTGGGAAACCATGGCTGGAGTTGAACCTGACAAACACTGACCAAGACATTGGGAGAGAGGGGAGAAAAGTGAGTATTACTCAAAGCTCTGACAGGGCAATAGCAGTACTTTTGAACCAAGTTACCGCTCGCCCGCCATTCAATGAATGACATACATTTTCTTTCACTTATAACATAAAACTGAATGCAATGGAGCAACGTTTGAAGAAAAACGGAGTTTCCCTGTGGGATTTCCTTTTCTTACATTAGTCAGTGACCCTCAAACACAATCGCATGCTCCCTTTGAGGCCTGCCCTGGGAAACAAAGGGCTCAGGCAGAACATTTGGTAGACTGGAACTGTGAGACTCCAAGGAGTTTATGGAAGAGATTCGGCTCCAGCAGCTTGTATGAATGCCCACTCCCTCCATGGTGCCCCTCTTCATAAATATCAGAGGCGTTATGTTTGCACTCACGGTATAGTGACAGAAACCATTCAAGCTGCATTACTGACTGGAGTGAAGACCCACCCGAGCCCTGGACTTTGGGTGACCCTGCCAAAAGGCTCCACTAGATCTTATGGTGATACTTATTTGCCCTTTCTTTTGAAACTATGGACACCATCTTTCTTATTGGAGCCGCTACCCCCCTCACAACCAAGGCTGGGAGCTGCCGTCTCTGCATGCCTTCTCAACACGGCTGACTGCCATTCTAGCTTGTCAATGTCGCCCACACAGGTCCTTTCCTGCCCATGCTTTCTGTCATTACTTCAGTCGATCTTTTCTAGATTCTTGCACTAGCCTCCCAACTGGAGTCATGATACACTCTCTTCACTTCCAAAATGTCCTGCACCGTTCTGCAGAGTCAGCCTTATCAGTCCAGAGCTCTGATCATGGCATAGCCCTCGAATCCTTTAAAGTGTCACTGTGTCTGCTGGGGAGAAAAACCCAAGGCCCCTCTCATCTGACACAAACCTATATCCCAGCAGCTTCTCCATCAGTCCCCACATGCGCACTGCTACACTGAATGCTCCCAGAACACTTCTGCACCCATGTCTTCTTCCCCTCTGCCTGTTGAAAGCCTGTTCACCACATGATCCATCTCACACGTCCCTCCTCCAAGAAGCCTCTCACTATCAGCCCAGTCAAAACCGAGCCCACCTCTTGAGGGCCTCAGGGGGTTGAGCATGACCATCTTACACTATTTGCCACATTCTGTTCTGGAGGCAGCAGAGCATGGAGGTTACAAGGACACCCTCCAGAGTGGGAAGGACCCCTGCACCAGTCCCTGTAGGTCCCTTCGCAGCGTAACAGGTGGGGTAAACGTCTTACCCCTATTGCTTTAACTCTCAGTTCCCTAATCGTCACAATAAAGAAGCCACAGGGGGTGTTCTGTGATGTGTTAAGTAATATTTGTAGTGTTTACAACTATCACATAATTACCTTCAAAAATAATGAATGTTTGTATCTGACTTACATGTTTTGGGTATATATTTCTCCTTCTTTAAAAGATTATAAATTCCTTAAGGCGAGCCATTATAGCTTATTTTCTGCTGCATGTCCTTTAAATGTAGCATTATCACGTACTAGTTGTCAATTCGAATATGAGATGGACCATCAAATAATAATTATAATAAAATAATCATTACAATGCCAATAATAATCGAACACTATGTGGCAGAAGTTGCACCTTACATGTGCTATTTTTAAGCTTTCCAATGATCTGGTAAGGTCAGTATTACTATCCTTACCTAATATAATAGTACATGGAGTCCTAGAGAATTGTAATCACTTTTCTAAGGACATCGGCAGCTTCGTAATGGAATCACAACTCAAATTCAGTTCAATCAAACTCTAAACTCCTTTCCATTTCTACTATAACAGGCTGCCTAAAATATTCTCCAAAGAAAAGTCCACATTCCTTTTCTTTATGATAAAAAAGACAAACAACAACAGCAAACAGGTTTTCCAACATAATTCAGGTATTCCCTATCCAGGTTAGCAGCAGAAAAATGGGATTAAAAAATAAAAGCTCCAATGAAGAGCTAAGAGCAAAGAATAATGAACAATGGTTATAAGACACAATAAAATAAAAATGATACCAAAATGAGAGCAGGTGCCACAGATGACACAACAAGAGCAAAAACCTGACACAGTTTGCCCAGCACAGAAACACAGTTAGGACAGGAGTATGGACTGGAAATGACAGAAGTGTTCCCAGAAAAAAAAAAAAAAAAATTACGGAGGAAAAGGTGCTTTTGATAAACTTTTAAGTAGATGTCATGTGACACCACTGAAGTAGAGGAGGAGAAATAAATGTGTATTGGGAGCCCTTGGGGTATATTCCCAGCATCCTCAGGTCAGAGACCATAAGGCAACCCATTCATCAGATAAGATAGAAGACAAGTAAGGGGCAAGAAGGGACAAAAGTTTTGGTCCCAGTTCTACACATGATTTTCTAGTAGCGTGAACAGATTTGTTTTTAAAGCAGAATGCCATAGAGGGGGCTATGGGAAGGAACAGCTGGGGACTATACAAAAGTTACTAAAACTAAAAAAAGGAATCAATATTCCAGCCTGTGCTGAGTTGATGATTTTTCGCCAGGGGTTCCAATTATGGAGATTACATCTTAAGGACAAGAATTATAAAAATAAGCAAACAAGCCAAACTAAAGGGAAAGAGAGCTACAAAAAAACATTCTAGGGAATTCTGTACCACAATTCAAATCATTAGTAGCTAAAGGCCTTTTTCATTCTGTTTAAGTAGAAAAATTAAAGTTTTTTAACTTAAGTTCAATTTGGATAAATCATGTCTATACTTTAGAAATGAATACCTTTGAGAAGCAGTTCAGATACACAGTATGGATTGACAATGGAAAAACTGATCAAATGCACAGCAGGTATTAGGCAAACTAAAATATGGTCATGGATAGGAACAAACGTTTTCAAGTGACCAGACCATCAATAATCAAGTGCCATTATGTGGAAAATGACCAGTGCTTAGTGGTAGTAGCGTATTTTGTGGTGGGTCTCTACCTTCTTCTGGCACATGGGAGAAATGCGTCAGGTCCCATTGGTTCTGGTCCTGTAACTCCAAGATTCCCAAAAGAGGGGAGCAGAGGAATGCACCCAACTCTCTCCCTCTACTACCTCTTGAAAAGTCACAGGAAATAGAGTATCTTTAGATCCAGGAAAAGAGAAATTGGAATCCGTTGTGCCACTTGTTAATTTTATGACTTAGGACAAACTACCTGTCACCTTTTCTTAGCTTCCTTATCTGCTGAATGTGCACAACTCTAAATGCCCCATTACAAGAGATTTGTTGTGATTATGGATGCATCGGGAAATTCTGGGAAGAGTCGCTTGGTACACATTCTGTACTCTTAGTACAGGGGAAGTTTGTACTCCAAAAATCAGTTCCCTAATTTTAGTCACCTAGAAGAGGTAGTGCTAATTAAAGTAGCACCCATCCTTTATATTGTAACTAAGATAGATTAAATGGGATATGGGTGAATGATAAATAAAATAGCCTATTTTTCTGGCTTCTGCTCTTCTTCATGACGGACAGAAAAATCCCAGGAACAAAGAGACCAGGATAAAGAACTTAGCTTGTCTCCTTTTCTGAGATTTGAATTATAAATTAAAAGTTTGGGAATGCATTGTTTTAATGACACCTATAATAGAATCAGAAACAAATACTGTACCAATTAATATTATCGATAATGGTAATAATGGTAATAATCAACAATAAATACCATAATGCACTGCTAAGAAAAAGATAATGAGACACATCCACACTCATTTTGATGCCATTCCTAACCAGTGTTCAGAAGATCCAGATGATAAGAAAGTAACTGAGAAGAAAAAGGGGAAGGAGTCATTGGGTGACGGGTGCTTATGTTTCTCTCAAGGCTATTCTCTTTTGGGGGTAGAAATACTTGAGTTACAACTATATAGTACTTTCCTATCATTCATCATTCCTAAATCCGTCCAAAGATGATGGTCCTTATAGGATCCGGACTGCCTTGAAAGCAGCCATTCTATTTCCCTCACGGAGAGCAGTCATGGAATTTAGGTGGGGTGAGCCACTCTCTCCCTCCAGTCCAGAGTGGACTCTTATTAATCAGCATAACCTCATCCTCCTTGTCACAGCAATAGGCTCAAGGATGGGCATAAACCAGTCAGTGCCTGGCTTTCCCTTAGTCACAGTGATGGATTCCCTGGAGACCTCAGAAGGGGTGATCTAAGGTGGACAAATCAAAGAACAGACCAGATTTGTCAAAAGCTTGGCTCAGATGGCATGGAACATCATGTGAGGCCCAGACATTTCTGCTGAGAGAATCAAATAAAAACAGAAGCCAAGATAGATCATTGTCATCAGCATAAAAATAGGCTCAGTGCTTTTGGGGTTAAGACAATTCTTCCTCGAGAAAGAATGCCCTAAGCTCTGCAGGATGTTTAGCTCCAGCTCTGGTCTGGTAAACACCAGGAGCATCCCCTGGCAACTGGGTTGACCAGGAAGTACCCCTACATATCTCTAACTACCCCTTGGGGAGGTAGCTTCTTCTTTACCTTTGAGAAATACCACTAAGACTAGAATCTTCTATTATAAACAGACAGACAAACCTTGTTCTCATATTCCCCTCCAGGCATTGTCCCACTCCCCTGCACAGAAAACCTTATTGTAGATTTCTTACAGTCCTGCTCGCCACTGATTTCCTGCACATTCTTTTGTGAGCCCACTCTTGAAGACTACTCCTGGTAAAGCAAGAAGCTCCATATTTCTAATTCAATGGTTCCATTTCTATTCTTCTCCTATTAGACCATTCAGAATTATTCAGTAGACTCTTGTTCTTATAACTGCAACTGCACCATCCTGGTTTCCCCCTACAACACAGGACATGCTTTCTTAGCTTCATCTACTGAGTTCTCTTCCTGTGTTGGACTTACTGATTTTAGAGTGCCCAAGGGTCTACTTAGATTCTCTTCTTTTGTATCTGAGTGTTCTCCCAGGGTTGTATTATCGAAGCTGCATGCAACATAATTCATGTGCAATTCAATATATTTTCATAGGA